ACTATCATAAGTAGATGAAAATAAATTAAATACCTCTTTAGACGCCCGACCAGCGCCGACAGCCCTGAGTCGCCCGCCACCGGACCTGTGCCGTTAGTAGATGAGTCGCCCGCCGCCAGAACAGTGTCGTCAGCCGCTCGGTGTCCTGCCACCGCCAATTCTCCTTCCAATGGTACAGACATGAAATCATCAACAATTTCATAATCATTCAAAGCGTTCATCCTTTTTAATAGTTTATGTAATCGAAGTAATGTCGCAAGATTGAAAGGCAATTTTTCACCCTTCTTTCTTTTTAAAATGTGTTCTATAAGAATGTGTGTAACAATATAAAAGTAAAAGTAAAAAGTAAACACTCGCGTCTGAAAGTCAAACGCTTCCACTAATTTTTTTACAGTAAATAATAACTATGTGACAAATATGCATCATAATAGTTGTCGAGTAATAATCCCAGAGTACGAATTTACAAAAATAAATTTATAAAATAATATCTCTTCAGTCTTTACGTAGTTTAGTCACAGTATTTGAATTTACGATTTTAAAAATATTATTCCTCTGTGATCTATTCTGACGCAAAAACAACCGCATAATGAATCGAATTTTTTGTGACAATCACGTCTTCGAACATTCGTTTTTTTTTTTCTTTTTTTTCCAGAGCGATAAATTCGAGCAGCCATTTTTTTTCTAGAATGGTAGAATTCGAACAGTCATTTCCGTGATCCCCTGTGAATTTATTCCTTGTATTTAACAATAACTATGTGACGAATATGGGTTAGAGCAACTTTCGTGTAATAATTGTAGATTAAATAAGAATACCAAAAATAAAATTTCAAATAAATTAACATGCAATTAATGGTTGTGTACTATGTTTCGCCTACCAATCGCATATTGTGGTTGTCGAGTAATAATCGCAGAGTACGAATTTACCAAAAATAAAATTTTAAATATATTATCTCTTTAGTCTTTACGCAATTTAATAGCTTTGAATTTACAATTTTAAAAATATAATCACTCTGCGGTCTATTCTGACTCGAAAACAGTCGCATAATGGATCGCATTTTTTCGAGGCAATCAAGTCTATGAACAATCATTTCTACGATCCAGTATTCGTATCTCGTTGACAATTTGTCGCAACGTTTTTCTTATTTATTTATTTAATAAAAACTATGTCACGAATATACATGAGGACAACCTTCGTTTATTAATTAAAGATTAATTACAAACTTACAAAAAATAAAATTTTAAATAAATTAATATGCAATTAATTTTCACGTTATGTTTCTACTACTAATCACATATTTTAATGGTTCACTTTTTCCGAAGCAACCCCATCATTCGAACAATCCTTTATGCATGCCTTGAAACATTACATGTCAATAAATGCTACATAAATGGTTATGAGGCAACTTGAAATGTTAGAGACCAATATAAATATTACATGAATGAAAATATGAATGTATTTTGTACCCTTGCATACCGATCGCAGGTTCATGTTATTAATTTCATGGTTCTGACTTTGATCAACATATGTTGGATCAGTTCATACAAGTCGTCATCCTTATAGTTTTTCACCAGGTTCCTCCAGTCGTTGATATCGGCCGGCCCATGATCCTCTGCCTCATTGCTTTAGAGATTTCAATTGTTAAAAACTTTGGGTATTCAAGATGTTGTAAACTTCCTTCTCGTGGTTCTAGTACATCCTTCTCGAGAGGACAACACGAGTTGAGGTAAACCATCAAGGTTAGCCGAGATCACAAGTTGCCCCCGCGATTAGCAAGAAATTTCAGATCCGCAATAATAATAACTGATATGTGCAGTGATGCTCGCATGGAGCTTCGGCAAAATATAATTCCAGGAGACATCAACAAAAAAAATGACAAAATTACTTATCCGACGTCCGTCGATCTGTGCAGAAATAACCCTAGGATGTGAGTACGCACGCCCTCCAGCGAAGCCAAGAGACCTCGTTCACCCGCACGCGAGCCCCGCGCCATGCTAGTCCAACATTTACAAAA